TTTCTATCACTTTGAATTCTTTATCTGATAGGAAGATACAATATTTTATGTTTTTATGGTTCAGTTCTGGAGAGTTAGTCTCTCATTATGTCATATAGCCATGAGGTCTCAAGTTGCCATACATTATATGTTTTTATCTGTCCTTTTTGATACTTTAAAAAATACCTGGATCAACAAGTTAGATAAATTATTTTTGCTTTTCCAGTAGATGGTGCTATGGCTTTTTGTGATTTCATTTCATTTTTTTTTTGGGGGGGGGGGGCTCTGCTAATTTCCATAAGTGCTGAGATCTATATTTTTATTTGCTGTGTCATCAGGGGAAAGGGACATAGAGGTCCAGGTACTGTTGTGAATGAATTTGCTGGGGGCCTATTTTCATATTGATATCTCTCCTCTTTGGAGTTCCAGATCTGAGATTAGGCAGTATGTCTACTGTCAGGGCACTTCACAAGATACCCTCTATAGCATCTTCTCTGTTGTCCCTTTTATTTTGGTCTGGCCTGTGTAGAAAACCCATTTCTTCCAGATGAGCTTCACTGGGATTGAGGATGTATGTGTCCACACTATTTTTTCTCTCTCCACCCAGGGTTTCTGACTGGACCAGCAATCCACTGTCTGTGTCCTCTACTCTGGATTGCCACCTCACTGTTTCTTTCCATCAGTCCCCTGTCTGAATATCCTCTGTGTCCTCTCTGGTATAATCTGTGTTGGCCTCTGAGATCTAAATGCTTCATTCTCACCATGAGCCTCCTGTAGTGTCATCCATGTTAACTTCTTGGGAGTAAAGCAAGGAACTGCCTATATCATGATCTTGGTGATGTCACTAATTGGTGGAGTACTTTTAGTTATAGGTTGGGAAGGTATTTTTAAGAGTATAAGATAATATCATATTTGTTCTGAATTATTTTTTGGATAATATATGTTTTCATGTAGAATTGGGGATATGAACAATATTGCAGAAATAGGTTTCATAAATTAATACTTATTTCTAGAGAACTAGTATTATGTGAGATGGGTTATGGTGAGTTCTGTGGTTTTGACCTGCATATCAATTCTTTCTCCTTTTCTGTATTAGTAACACTGCAGTTTTCCTTCTGGGGACTTTATTTCCCTCCTTTCATGTTATTTTGGTGGATAGTCAAATGCATTCTCCCTACCTTCCTTGGACACATGTCTGAGTAATCCTATCCCAGAAGTTTAATCTGTAGTGAACATTGGAAAAAAGCACTGAAGGGATTCTAATGCTTATACCCTGAAGGGATAATCTGTTAATGCCTATATCCTAATTTCCTCAAACATCTTTTATCAAATCCTTCCAAATATATGATTGTTCACTTTTTTTCAATAGATTCTGAAATTTGTTTTATTATCTCTTCTTTTTCTTATTTCATTTAAGTTAACCAGAGTCCATTTCTCCACCTCCAGCCAAATAATCCTAGCTGATAAGAGCATCCTTATGGGTGGGTATGTGGGTGGCCAGTAGCTTGTACTGTAACTAAGATAAGTGATTCTGAAAATTATTTGCATGATGACATGATCAGTTCTTTTAGAGAATATTTTAGTCACAATGGGTGTGGGGAAAAGTGGGTCTTTTTATTTATAAAACAGGCTGGATTTTTTTTTAAGTACATTTTGTTTTTCTATGTGTTTATGTATTTATATGTACAATTACTCTGAGAATTATCTATTTTAATGTGAAAATGACATTCATGATTCATTGTTTTCAGAAAGAGTACATTAAAGACTTCTTTGAGGGCAAGGCCTGCATAAAGTTACTGCCTTACCTGCAAGGTTATCTGAGGTTCCATATCCTGTATATACAAACAATTACTCAACTTCTGTCTTTCTAAGGGAGAAGACTTGAGATACTTTGGGTTGTTTTCTTTGATGTCTTGGTATGGAGATTTGTTCACAGACAATGGCTTTAGACCATCAAGTGTTTGAACTTGTTTAAGTTGAGCTATATGACTCCTAATAGCAAGGTCTCTGTTTTTTCCCCATCTGTGAAGTGCTATTCTCATTTCCTGTATTTGGCTAATGATAATGACTGACCTAAAATTTTGCTGGGCTACAGTGCTAGGTAAATAATAAATAATAGCAGTGATTCCATGAGATTACAGTCTAGGTTGGATGTCCTCTGCATTCTTCGAGACTTTGCTGTTGGTTCAGTATTTTGTTTTAAAATTTCCTCAGTTTGTGGTCCAACCGCTATGGAGAGCTGTGTGGAGATTTCTGGACCTACTAAACATAGAGCTTCCATATGATCCAGCAATTCCACTCCTAGGTATTTACCCAAAGGACACAGAAACATCAATTCCAAAGAACACCTGCACCCCTATGTTTATAGCAGCACTATTTACAATAGCTAAGCTTTGGAAACAGCCCAAATGCCCAAAAATAGATGACTGGATCAAGAAGGTGTGGTACATATACACCATGGAATATTACTCAGCATTCAAAAAAGATAAACACATGCAAATTGCAGCAACATGGATGGCGCTGGAAGGGATCATGCTCAGCAAAATAAGCCAGAAAGAAAAAGAAAAATACCGGATGGTCTCACTCATAGCAGGAATCTAGAAAACTTAAATAAGGGACCAGGAAAATGAATAACTATAAGAAAGTGAAAATCAAAATCAACAAAAAACTATGAACCAGAGACACTTTTTGGGGGTGGGGGGCGGGAGGGGAGGGATTGCGGTCAGAATGGGGGGGTTGCAATTGTATGGGGAATATAAAAATAAAATTTATTATTTAAAAAAAAAAGAAAATAGGCTACAATCTCGAATAGAAGCGCAAGAAACCCAGGGGATGAAACGTTATTTATGTGATTACCTAGAATTTCTTGGGATTGAGGAGCTGGAGGAACAACTGTCAAACAAGTTGCTCAAGCAAGCAGGTGAATAAAGATAAAGGCAAATAAAAAAAAATAAAATTTCCTCAGTTTGGATCATGTGTAGTAAGTGATCCTAAATCATAGATATAACAGCAGCCACCACTTATGGAGTTAAGTTTATCAGACACTGTATTCGGTAGTTTATAAACAAAGTATATTCTATTTCACCACTGTATTGGGTAGATATTGTTATCACCATTTATAAATAGCATTCAAAATTCCATGATTTTATAAAGGTTTCCTTACATAAAATTTGACAATTTATTAAAATGAAGGATATCTTAGTCTTACATATTTATACTGAAATTTGAAATAAGAACTTTGATAAATAGTATGGTAAATAGTATGATCAAAGCAAGACATGCCTACCGTGGCTTACTTGATTTTACAATCTTGAACTCTTTATTTCCCTATTCTTCTATCATATCCAACATGCAACACCTTTTCTTTTTTTTTTTAAAGATTTATTTATTTATTTTTAAAGATTTATTTATTTATACAAGAGCTGGGGTACAGTCAGAGGCATGGGAGTGTAAGAGAATTCACCAGAGACAGAGCGGGGAGCAGAACAGGCAGAAGGACCAAAGTACACTGCTGAGGGGAGCAGGGGGCGAGGCAGGAGAGGTCTGCCATATTATGTGGGTTTCTCCCTGGACGGCCAGGAATCAAACCGATGCTGCAGAGGCTGTGGACAGCAGTGCTGTGCTCAACCTACTGCGTCACCGGGGAGGCCCTGCCAACACCTTTTCTAAGTGATTTTGATCTTTCTTATTTATTCCCCTTTGCCAAGTAGTTGTCAAGTTTTGTCAAAATATCATTTGGATGTTCCTGTCTTTTTTCCTCTCTAATGCTACTACCATAATTCAGTTGATCATTATCTCATATCAATGATGGGATAATTGCAATAACAATCTTGTTAACTTTGGTGGCAATATCTCAGGTAATCTATGTAGTCCTCTTAGAACCATGGACTTTTGGGGAAACTTATGTTCCTCAGGGGAAATAGAAACTTATGTTCCTCAGGTAATCTATGTAGTCCTCTTAGAACCATGGACTTTTGGGGAAACTTATGTTCCTCAGGGGAAATAGAGCAGAGTGGAGTTGAGTGATAATGGGTGATCACAATCCTGGATGAGAGACCATCTATGAAGAAAGTGGGATGGTGGGCAGCTAAGATCATTATGATTTTTTTTGATCCAAATGTGAGAGAGTAAATGAGAATGCAAGGAATGAAGCTGACTTTGAACTCTAAGCATAATAGATTAGTGTGCCACACTGAGAGGCTAACTGAAAATATTAAAGCTATGGGAAGTCAGCAATAAATGAGGTGAAAAAAATAAAATAAAGTTGAGGGATAAGAAGATTACTGTAAAAATTACTATCTTCCATGCAGGACATTGAATTGTGTAAAGGCTACATTCTTATTTATATGGCATCAAGGCAATCCCAGGTTGATGGTAAACTCAAGTCTGAGCCAATTTAGAAGCCAAGAACTTTAGAAGCCAAGAACTTGAACTTATAGAACCGAATATCAGTTCTATAAGTTTGGTGATGCTCCCTGGCCATACCTTTTCTTAAGTTAGAAATTTTGAAAGTAGCCAATAATGTGCCCAAGCAAGTAGGCTCATGCTCATTTTGTATTTTCCAAAGGCAGAATAAAAAGTAAAATAATTATGGATAACCAAATCAGGCAAGATTTTTAAAAACATAAAATGGAACGGAAAGAGTAACTTTATATGAAAAAGAGCTTATAATCAGAGTTATCACTCACGATAAGTGAAATTGAAGGTTAGATGGCATCCACAAGGCTGAGGCTGATGGTTTGTGCTAAATCACTATGGATTATATTTACCCAGAGTACCAGTTCATTGTGTAATAGACAGGTCTTGAGGGACAAGTACAAACAGTGGATTCTCTATCAAATTACACACAGCCTGGGAGAGAAATGTATGGGTCTAGCATAGTCAGGATGAAATAGTATTTCATTGAAAACATTCTCACTCTAAACTCACAGGGATCCTGACTTCTAAATTGGTTTCAATTAAATATATTTTTTCTCTTTTAAGAAAACAACATACCTATAATCTCTTCTAACTATTGGCAGGTCTGTGATGCTATAACACTCCACACCTTCCCACTGGCTGCAATTACACACATCAAGTTTCAGGATGGACGACAAGGTAAGATTCTGGAGGTAAAAGGCTACCACTTATGGTTCCCATTTTGCTCTCATGTGTCACTGCCTTTTATTGTTGGGAGTTATTTAGAGAAACAGTCATCAGCTAACAAAACCATCTGTTAGTTAACAACAGCAAAATATGAGGCTATTTCAAAATGGCATGGGGTATTTCAAGTTAAGGACAGAGAGGTGCCAACTATTTTTTCCCTTCAGTCTTTTCTTGTTAAAAAGAATTCATTTGTTATCAAAGCCAGTTTGGCTAATGTGCTTTCACATCACACATATCTAGAAATCAAAGCTGCCTAGAAAGTTATTTGAGGGTATGTTCCCCCTTTGGAACCTTTCTTGCTCCAGTCATGCTAATAGGAATTTCATGTGTGTGTCAAGAAGACAATATAGCCTTTATGCAATTCAACCAACACGTCCTACTCAGGACATGGTAAATGTTGGGAAAGCAAAAACAGTCTCACTTGACAGATTTAGTAAAATTCTTCACCTTTGTTCTTTTCTGCACTATCCACTACTATTGCCATCTGGGGGAAGAGAGGTAGTAGATGAAGAATCTCTGTATACCAACTTTCCCTCAGCCAGCCAGTTTCCCAAATCAGTTAAATATAACTCCATTTATTGTCATGCTAAAACGTTCTATTTAGCTGTGTTTAACTGGATATCATGATTCCATGGATTGACCTTTCGCTCCTGGGAAGTCGTTTTAAATTCAATCCCGGCAAAGGAAAATCCTTCCAATTCATTGGCTGTGAAAGGTCACAAGTGAAATGTGTTTTGATGGTATCTGCCTATGGTTTAATTCTCAGTAAACTTGAGCACTAACTGGGCCTCAATTGTGCTTTGTCTTGGGAATCTGAGTTCTAAGAAGCCTGGGAGAGCTGAGTGGGAGATCGTGGGGCTGAATTGCTAGCATCAGCCAATGGGACACAAAGGTACCAGCTGAAAGGTGAGGTATATGGTGCTAAATTAGGTCAATTCTACCTACTTTCTGAGCTGATGGGGGATTCAGACTAAAATATATAGTTTCTCTCCTTGTTTCATTTGATCTCTTTAGAAGGGACATTTCCCACTTTCTGGGAGGCAAAGAGGGCTTAGGGTGAGATAGGGAAGGAACTAGAAGTGTGTGAACCAGTCTAGAGGAAATTGGAGTATCCTGAATATTTAGGTATTTTCAGTGTCCAGGGCACAAATTCAGTGTTCCAAGCTGGAATATTTCTCTTTTATAATCTTTTTCTTCATTATTCATAGCACTTTGATCTCTTCTGAATTCCTCACTATTATTATGCTGATTTTAAATTGAATTATGATACCTTTATTAAATTTCATCAGAGAATCACAACTTTTAAAAATTATATTTTATCAAACAAAATTAGGAATTCTGTCAAATTTTTGAAGAGCTCAGTTGATGGAATATGGGAAATAAGTTTCTGGATTTCTGCTTTATTTTATTTCTACTCTATTTCAACCTTTTAGTGACTGTATAACATATTCTTTCAATCAAAATCTGTAATATCTGGCTCCTTTCTGAGTTTTTCCTCCTACCACCCTATGTCTCTATTACATGATTATATTCTACTCCTGAGAGCATTCAGTATTTCATGAATACAACTTGTAGTTCTGTATTTTCATGCCTATGTTTAAGTTGTTTTCTCTTGGTGGGGTGTCTTTGTTTTTTTGATGAAAGTTTAATCAGAAAGACCAAAATTTTCTTCTTTCTGTAAAGCCATTGAAATCCTTCCCTCTCCCCATCCATGAAGAAGGCAAGCCTTATTTCTTTAACACTTTGTCTATATGTCTATTATACTTTCCTCCATTGTGATACATTTGTATGTCTCCAATTCAACTCAGTTCCCAGAAGGCAGATGCAAGAGCTTCCTCAGCTTTATACCCTGGGGCTTTGCTCAGAGATTACTCCAGGAAGAGAAGTCTAGCTTCCTTATCACAGAAAATATGAGCCATTAGGCCTTAGATATTTCTTCAAGAATATTTCTTCTTAGATATTTCTTCAAGATGAAGAAATGAAGTTTCTTACATCAAATATGTTTTGAGAGTTCGCAGCAGCCATAAAAATAACAGAAAACAATATACTCATTCTTAAAAGCAGTAAGGACAGTTCTCTAGTAATGAATGAAAAAGTTGCTGCTTCCTCTTTCCCTTCCTTGGGTTTTTGGCTTTTCCTGGGAATACCTGGTCATGGGGAGAACTCTTAGAATATCAATAAAGTTCAGAGAGGGAGGAATGGAGATGGTTCTGAAAGGTAGGCTAGAGGCAGTAACGCTTGGCTTCATTTCTCCATCTCCTCATTTTCTTCTCTATTCCTGGATCTTCCATCCAGCAGACCGCAGGGCAGTTTGATTCTTAAGCTTTCTCGAGAGAGGGAAATAATAGACAATTTATAGACTTCTGAGTTAAGCCATAGTTTGCAGAAGCAGGATTTGGTGATCAGGCACATTGGATATCATAGCTGTAGGCCCTGGCTCCTTTACCATCAATGAGATCTGGCATTTAGAGACCCAGGGAGTGGCCTTGGGTATCCATGTCAGTTCTAAATCATAGCACTCTTGATCCCTCCTCAGGGTTGAACCTTTCTCAGATATAAGTTTAATCCATCATATCTGTCAGAATTGTTGGTTTCAAGAATCTAGTCAGGCTGGTTTAAGCAGAATAGTTTTCCAGTATGCTCATTGGTTAGAGACTTTGGCTTGAATGTTACACACAGATGGGAACCATGGTCAACTAGACCACAAGGGTCTTACATCCAGTGCCTCAGATCCATGGCTATTTAACCATTGACTGGGCAGCTGTAATCAATGACTAAAGAGTCTAGACATTTGGAGCTGCATCCCTTCTGCCCTCTAAGACTTGGACACATTTTTTCACATGTTCTCCAGAAGGAGAATTTCACAAACCTTATTCATATTGTTTGTTTTTGAATGCAGGTCTCATATGGCTGCATTTGATTAGTGAATACTAGATCTCAGGCATACCTCTTAGCAGCTAAGGAGTTGGGAAGACTTGTTTATATTTTGAGAAATTAAAATTCATAATGCAGGGAGTTTTTCATATATTACAGGGGCTCTCAAAAGGCTCTGAGCAACTAGAAAACATGGCAAAAATCTACTATATCTTGTAAGGTATTAATATTTTTATTTAACCAATAAACAATATGCCATGATTACACCAATTTCCTCAGTCTTTCTGAACATGTAGTGCTAGAAACTTTTTTCTGGGGTTTGGGGTTTAGACCCCCTCCTCCTTCCTGATATTTCTGTTAATGAAAGATTCTTCTTATTCTCTCCCTCATATTATTTCTTCTCCCAAATTTGTTCTACATATTGGCTTCGAATTTGGTGCATGGCACATGTGTATTATTGGAAACTTTTAACTGGGACCCTACATACTCTTTCTCATGTCCATGGCCCAGTCTTGAGGTGGGACCTTCAGTTGCCAGTAACTTCCTGAGACATCTCTCAGTTCACTGTTCATTTTGAATTTCATGTCCTTGATTCTTTTGCTTGTCCTTTAAGACTAATTATCTCAGGCAAGTTAGTTCAACTTTATGTTGGACTGGAGTCTTTATGACAGCATCTCTGCTCTGATATAGCTTGATTTTTCCCCATACCTACTCTTTTGACAAGGATCAATGTACCTTGTGGGAAGTAGGCTTAAAAATAGAGAGCTACCTGGGCCTCCCCTGGTGGCACAGCGGTTGAGCGCTGGGCTGTGAAGCTGCCCGCAGCCTCTGTAGTGCTGGTTTGGTTCCCGGACACCTGCGAGGGTCCCACATGGCGCGCAGACCTCTCCTGCCGCCCGCTGCTCCCCTAGGCAGTGTATTTCTGTCAGTCTGCCTGTTTTGTTCCCCGCTCTGGCTCTGGTGAATTCTCTCACCCTCCTGTGCTTTTGACTGTACCCAGTGCTTGTATAAATAAATAAATATCTTTAAAAAAAAAGAAATATTAAAAATAAAATAGAGAGCTACCAATATAGATTTTTCAAATTAAATTCATGTAGTCTTATGTTTTCAGATATGCTGTGAGCTCCTTAAAGTCATTTCTTAATCATTAATCATCTCTTGTATTTTCAGAAATGCTTAATATGGCATCTGACATGCAGCAGGCATGCAATTCATTTTTGCTGAATGATGAGTCATATAAAGATCAACAGTATAGTTCAGCATCACAGATCAGTCCTTCATTCATTTTTTAGAAGTTATTTTTATGTGCAAAGCATTGTACCAGATACCATGGAAATCTTAAATAACCCTTGTAATCTTATCTATATTATAACCATGCAACAAGAGCCAACATACATATTTGCTAGATGACAAACACTGAACTAGTTCATGGACATTTAATTCTTACAACAACCCTGTGAGGCAAACATACCATTAGTTTTATTTCCATTTACAAGGGAAAGAACTGATTCTCAGAAAGTTTACATCAACGAAAACAAGTTAGGGATATGATGTTTACAAAGTAAAGTTGGGAAGGTACAAGCACCATCTGGAATGTCTTAAATATCACAGGGCAACGCATTCCCAGTACTCAAATTCCATTCAAAGATTCCTTGAGGGCTAAATGGATACAGCTGGGGAATCAGAACTTACCTGGTGACCTTTGTACAACCTGCATTTTCACACTAAGGAACTCTGCTTTATTCACTTCTTCATCCTTCATTCAACAAACATGAATGGCAATGCCTCTGGCTGCTGGGAACTGTACTGAGCACTGGGAGTCAGGGTGAGGAGACCTGGGATAGGCGAGACCATTGCAATTCATAATATGATGGATAATAGAGATGTGAACATATTTCAAAGTAATATTTTCTTTGTTTTAATCAGTACTGCCCTTTATTTATTCTTTAATTTTATATATTTTTTACATCATTCTTCATTTTTATACAATGTATGCTTTCTCATCTCGGTTACAGTACCCATGAAATTCCCACCACCAATTCACCCATGTACCAAGACCCTAGTCCCTTGTACTCTTC